CAGTGGGGTCTAGGAGTCTCCCCTGGTTCAAAACCATCTTTAGAGGCATCAGCACATCATTTTTCGAGCCGCTCTTTCATTTGAGCCCAAAAAAAATTCATATCTTGTCTGACATCTCTGCTACAAACTCTGGTCTTCAACTCTGGTCTTCAACTCTGATTTTCAATTGAAACAACGAAATGGCCAAAAAAAATTAATTTAATTCATATTTTATAGGCTGTAGGAAGTGGAAAAACGCAATTCTGAGCCATCCATTTTCCTATAAGGAACCCAAATTCCGTTTTAAGGCGCTATCTCTCATAGTTTCCGAGATAATCGCGAAAAACGAAATCGCGCAAAAAAATTAATTTAATTGATCTTGTATAGGGTGTAGGAAGTGGACAAACGCAATTCTGAGCCGTCCATCTACCTATACGGAACCCAAATTTCCTCAGGAATCGAATGGAATAGGCTTTAAGGCTCTATCTCTCATGGTTTCCGAGATAATCGCGAAAAACGAAATCGCGCAAAAAAATTAATTTAATTGATCTTGTATAGGGTGTAGGAAGTGGACAAACGCAATTCTGAGCCGTCCATCTACCTATACGGAACCCAAATTTCCTCAGGAATCGAATGGAATAGGCTTTAAGGCTCTATCTCTCATAGTTTCCGAGATAATCGCGAAAAACGAAATCGCCCGAAAAAATTAATTTAATTGATCTTGTATAGGGTGTAGGAAGTGGAAAAACGCAATTCTGAGCCGTCCATCTGCCTATACGGAACCCAAATTTCCTCAGGAATCGAATGGAATAGGTTTTAAGGCTCTATCTCTCATAGTTTCCGAGATAATCGCGAAAAACGAAATCGCAAAAAAAAATTAATTTAATTTATCTTGTATAGGGTGTAGGAAGTGGAAAAACGCAATTCTGAGTCGTCCATCTTCCTATAGGGACCCCAAATTCGCTTTTAAGGCTCTATCTCTCATAGTTTCCGAGATAATCGCGAAAAACGAAATCGCCAAAAAAAATTAATTTAATTTATCTTGTATAGG